GCATCCTCTGGTCCAGCCGGATTTGTAAGTCCACACTTGTATTTAAGGAGTCTCGGAGGCAGATTCTGGTGGAGGAAGGCCTTCATGCTCGTAAAGTGGAGATACATTCCGGTCACATTCTGTAACAGTTGTTCCCCACAATAAGACCAATTTTAAGGTGCTGTTTGCAAGCACGCGGTGACTACTATATGCTTGAAGGTTCTCTGTCTGAAAGCTGTCTGCCATCAATAACAATCAGACCACTGGATCCTAAGTACGGCCCACTCCTTTCTGACAAGGATCATAGATTGTTTCCTGGAGAAGAGCTCAGGGACACCTAAGTTCAAGTCAGCTCAGGGATGTCCAAGGTTAGGTCGCCATTTAAACACTGGAACCTGCCCATCTTGTATGTATGTAGCTTCCTGTCACATGTACGTCCCCTTCCTGTTGAGTGTCTACCCCTAGCTCATCTGCTCCCGGTAACATATAGGACTCTACTACAACCCCTTCCAGTTATGTACGTATGAGATGTGGCTTGCATGCCCGAGTGATATAAGCTTATGAGAGAATACATTCGTCCCCCTCTCTGGTTCCGGTCTCCATGGAAGAGGTGAGCCCTTGCATGCCTTGTCTGATGTTTCTTTAATTTACCCTTCAATTACACAACCGCCCCCTAGCACTCACTCTGTGCAGGCTGGTCCCCCACACCCATGTGTGCGCCTGCCCATTGACTTCGCCCAGGAAGGTGCCATGTTCCAGGGTTTTGAACAGGAAATCATCAAATGGAGCATCTGCGAATGTGAGGGTGTGTGAGCGAACACCTGAGAATGATAATAGCCGCATGCTCCGCCGTTGGAACCCCGTATGCAGTACCCATTACTAATGCTCTCCACATCAGAACAAACTCACTGCCAGGAAGCCGATCCTCACCCACAGCGACCTGGGCTTCTGAGGTTCTCATTAATGAAGTAGAAAGTCTCACCTTTCCCCTGAGCCATAAAACAAAACAAAACAAAACAAACTTCACCTTTCTCCTGCAGAGCAGCTGGGGGCTTTGAACTGCTGACTTTGTGATAAGCAGCTCAAGGAATGAGTAAGCCACTACAATATGATGGGATGCACCAACACAAGACCCGGAGGTCTTAGTGCAATTTGTCATGAGTTGAATATGCCGTGTGTCAGCCACAGTTACTAGTAACCGCAGGACAGCAATTCCCACTTAGCAGCCACTGCTTTAATGAAATACCTAATGACAAAAGGCTACCCCAAATTCAGCGATGCTTTGGGGGGAATCTGCTTTCTTTGA